GAAAAAGAACCAACTTATATACCTTGACGTTTTCTTTCAGAATATATGAAGAAGGGAGAGAAAGTATCCCTGAACATCCGTATCTCTTTGAGGTAAATACATATGAAAATACGTCTGTGTAACCTGAGTCTGTATGTTTAAAACATGCAGCCATTGATCAACAGCTGAGATAGGTGCGGGGATATCACGTAAAAAGGAAAGTTTACCTCAGCAAAACCTTTTTAGATCTGCCCCTGCCTCAGGACAGAGATGACGACCTGTGTACCAGAGAGCTGCCCTCCCGGGGCCAGCATCAGCCTTCACCTCCCTGCTCATTCCTGCCTCCCCCCTGCATTTTTTTTGCACCTGTTAACCGTTAATTTGTTTAAAAATGATTGTAAGGATCAAGTACGTGTGAGAGTGTTATGGGGTGGAGGTCATACGAAGTGCGGAAGGTGGGTGGCTGCTGGGGAGAGAGGAAAGAAAAGACCTGCTCCAGCAGCCGCCCTCCTCGGCAGCTGCGTACCTGCACTCAGTGTTTTCCGCCTTCAAACTTGCAAGTTCTGATGGCAGGCTTTTTATCTAAGTACTTTTACGGGGAATGGGGTATCCGTATGAAAATAGCAATTGCTTTTAATGGCTTTTGGAATATAGGGATGGCTGGAAAATGTAATCCTGTTTAGTTATATTAATCTTGGGGTCTATATGTTTGATAATCATTTGAAAATAAAATCAAGTCATTATTGAAAAATACAGTAATCTGAAAAGCCAACTAGATGTGAAGAATTAAGCAGTACTTCACTGTGTATGCAAAAGCCTAAATAGGGATTGATATACCTTTGTTCTCAAAAACACTTTTCCTACAGGAAAGATGGGGAGGGACTATTTGTCAGGGAGTATAGTGACAGGACAAGGGGTAATGGGTTTAAGCTAAAAGAGGGTAGATTTTTACATTAGATGTGGGAAAGAAATTCTTTCCTGTTAGAGTGCTGAGGCCCTGGCACAGGTTGCCCAGAGAAGCTGTGGCTGCCCCTGGATCCCTGGCAGTGTTCAAGGCCAGGCTGGATGGGGCTTTGGGCAACATGGTCTAGTGGAGGGGGTCCCTGCCCATGGCAGGGGGCTTGAAACTAGATGATCTTTGAGGTCCCTTCCAACCCAAACCATTCTATGATTCTGTAACAGGCTTGAGTTACTTAATGTCTCCATGAGAATGTCATGAGACATTTGGAGAAGTGATCAACTGATATTTAATGTTGCTTTAAGTGAGTATTCTCCATCTGAACGATATCTGGTAACTGCAGTTGCTACTTGACAACAGTGATCCCTCATACCTCAGATTATCTGAAGTTTTGTTCATCAAACCAAACTTCAGTTTCTCATAGAATCCACCTGTTAGAGATTAAATTTTCTGTGTTGGCTGCTTGAAAGTTGTTGCATATTCACAGTTGATTTGATTCCACCTATGGCATGCAGTATCTGTTCTCCTGCAGTAAGAAAGAGATTCATGAATGGTTGCAATAGGGTTGGAAAACAGTTTGTGGAATTAGTTAGTTTTGCAATTTCTGGTATAAATGTTGCATTTCAGCAATTTTTTTATATGTAGTGTATTAAAACCTTTTTTTTTTTCTTTTTTTCAGACTGATGTAGAGATTTGTTTGATTGGTGGTAGTTGCAAAAGTCCCATTGAAAGATTTTGGAATGGAAGCGATATGATATATATTTTGCAGAAAGCAGTAAGTGTGTATGTTAGTTGTTAACTTTTTAAATGTAATCTAGACTTTTGAATTCCCATCAAGAATTTTCACATACCTTGCATTTTTTGACTTACCTGTTTGTTTCTTTAAAGCGACACAATGAAGAAAGTGACCCAATGGAAGAATCAAAAACAGATGATGCTTTTTATGCCTCTGAGCTTTTACCACAGGAGAGTTCTGGACCAGTGGCACTTTCTGTCCGAAGAGCAAAGTAAGTGTCAAAGGTCTGCCTCCCCTTTTGATGGAATTTTCTTTTGCAGTTTTGTCTCTCTTCCTAATATTCAGAACCCGTATTATTTTTAATTCCCCAAAATTAAATTACTCATTAGTTTAGTGAAGGGATATGACCCTTTTTCATCCTGCAAAATGGCCTTCCCTGACTACAAGTATTCCTAACACAGTGTAGCTAAAGTCAGGGTACTGGAAGAGCACTTGTGAGCTGTCCCAGTAGGTTAATGGGACTGGCTGTAGGTGAGCAAAGAAAGCTTACTAAGACTTCAATGCTTGTTTTTGTAAAGTTTCTGTTAAAAAAATATAAAAATCTGATTGGGGTCTTTGGCTGTTATTAAATACCACGGCATGGTGCCAAACCGTGGTGACTAGTTTGCTTAACTAACTTACCCTTTTAACATGCTTAAAATGTAAAATTCAATTATGATTTCAGAATTAAAATATTATCTAAATTAAAATATTATATTAAATATGTTCTCAGTAATGATATCTTCCTCCTTTGTGACTTCATTGTTCTACCTGTAAAAGGAGGATTATAACGCTTTGCTGTTTTCGTAAAATGATTTGGTGTCTGCTAATGAAGCATGGTGGGTAGGAGTTAAGTTTTATGTAAGGGATAGATTTAGCTATACTTGCTGGCATCTTTTTTTTTTTCCTCTTTTCACATTTCTAGGCAGTTGATTTCCTTATATGCAATGGTACAAAATCCAAACATGACCCACTTGAAGATAAATGAACTGGTTGCGCTTCCTCCCCTCTGGATAAGGTGTGATGGCTCCGATCCTGAACATACTTGTTGGCTTGGAGCTGAGCCTCTCAAAGCTGGAAACAAAATCACAGGCATCAATTTTTATATGGTTACACGTGATGGTAAGCTTATAATGTTACACATAAAATTAAATGAGGAAGGCTTAAAAATGTGGGAATATTGATGTAGTGATGCTGTCTTTGTCCTTGTGTGATGTTGGCTTGGTACTGCTCTATATTCCTCATTTTAAAAAACAAGAGGGGAAAAAAAAAAGAGGAGAGAAAAGAAAAGATGCTTTTAACCCATGCCATGTGGGAGAAATAACTTTTTAATGTACTTAGTGCAACAGTAGCTGTGCAGACCTACCTTCACTCAGGTGCAATAACTTAGAAAATTTAAATTGCTACCATTGAACTTCTTAAGCAAGCACCAACTCTGACTAAACATTGATAATGAATCAATAGGTCAAGTGCAAGAAGAATGCCTGCTTTCTAAAGGGCAGCACAAGTCGTACTTGAGCAAATGGAGTATTTGAGAATTAATTTTAAGTGCCAAATTTGAATTGTGCCAAATGCTTTTTTTGATTCTTACTTTTTTCATTTCCTAGGTCCTACAGCTGACAAAACCTATTTTGCAAACCTGGAAGAGCTCAAAATGGCACATAAAATGAAACATCATTCATCTATTGTAGGTTTTTATGGTCTGTCATGTTTCCAATCTAAGTTTAAAACCTCTGGTTTTGGATTTATGATACTGGTTTTGGGAAGCTTTACAGATTCTATTTAGAAACTCACTTTAGTATGATTCTATAGTATAATAGCCTCTTCTGAAGTAACATTTGAGCTCCTTATGTTGTAATGCATTTGTCAGATATTAGCCCTTTTTTTGTGTGTGTGAAATGCTTTTAAAATTATTTTGCGTGCATACAGAACAATCAATGTTGTGGTTTGTTTTGTTTTTAAAAATCTGTTTGTTCTAGGTGATGACAAAAGGATTTGCTCAGTATGAACTTATTAGAGCTGCTGCAATAGAGGACACAATTGTGGAATCTGAAAGCAATATATATGTTGATATTACATGGAATACTGTAGATAAGATTCTGGAAACACCTCCACTAATTTCAGCTGCCACACTGGTAAGTCAAGAAAGAAGCAAACAAAGTCAAGCTCTTTCCACAGCTCACATTGAGTAGTGTAAAGGATAGAAAATAAGTTTGACATCTGTGTTTATTGTTCTTTATATAAGCAACACAAGGTGCTCATAATCTGAATTATAAATTATCCTAATATGCATTTCGCTAATGAAAATTTTAGGGTGCTTGATTTCTAAAGTTTGAAACTGACTTAAACTTCCGGAACTTTCAGAATATTACACTGGAGTCTGGGGATCCCAGAAGTCCTGTATATCAGCTGTATAGAGAACTGCAGTTTCTCCTTGTAAGTATAAATGAGAAATTCCAATTTCAGATTTACATGGAATGGTGATTTTATGTGTTAATCATTTCCTTTATTTAAAACTTCATCAGAAGTTTCAAAGATAACTTTAAGCTTTTAGTTTAGAATAAACTTTGAGTTCAATTTAGAGGACAACTCATGAACACTAAAGCCAAGAAATTCAAGAAGTTTCTAAATTCTTGGTTAGCTGTACAGAGAGGTGTATGATTCTTGGAGAAGCTAACTACAATTTTAAGTATGACACATGCAGAACCTTAAACAAGAACTGATATGCGTTGTTTTGGTTTTGATGCTGCCTTTAGGCTTTGGCCGAAGGTTTGAAGACAGGCGTGACTGAGTGGCCTGAGCCATTAGAGTCTGAATCGGCTGTTGAACTGGTCCAGGAATTTCTGACTGGTAATTGCTCCTTGTTACACGGGGAGAGAGGGATGTCACGTTTTGCAGAAATAAAAGGGAATTCCACATACAATTTTTAAAGTATTAAAATCAGAGATGTTAATTTCTATGCTATAACAACTTGCACAAAGTAGTTAAATAGGTTAGTCTGTACATCCCTCATTTTTCTTTGTCCTAATACCTTGTACAAAAGTAATAATTATTTCTTTATAAAATGACATGATTATGTTTAAAAAGCAATTGAGAGAGTTCTGGATGTGTCTTCCAAGTTACCTGATGTGCATGTGAACTTCTGAACGTGCTAAGTGTCCCTTTGGTGGTGGAAAGCAGTACTTTGACAACATCTTAAAAAGGAGCATCCAAAATTACTGATTGCTTTTGAAACCTGTCGTGAATAGTATGTGTCTTGTCAGAAGTTTAAGAAATTAGAAAACAAAGCTAAAAAAAAAATCAGATGTGGGAATGAACCAAGAGATTTTTCCAATGCAACTGTAAATTTTTCACGAATGAGTCTGTAGATAAAACTTCGAGGAACAGACAAAAACTGACAAATACATGTGGAAGAAAACTAGAGACACTTGTTAGATCATCTGCTACTCCTTCCTACTTCATCACTGAAACTTAACAAGTTAATGCTTAGATAACAACATAGTAAATGTATATGGGGAAAACGTATAGCTTATGAGAAAAAATATTAAGAAATTACTTTTTTAGTCTATGTGCTTACCTAGTAAAAACAATTTTAAAACGGATAAATTTTGTCTATTAGCCATCCAGTCAGTGTATTTGTTAATTATGCTGTGCCCAGGGATTTATAGAATTGGTTTGATTGTATTTTTTTCCATAGCAGTGAAATTTATGTTTCTCTTCTACTAGATTTAAAGAAGAAGCTGGATGGATATTGTATATCTGGAAACAAGAATGAAACAGAGGTATATGCAATTTCCTACCAATTACCCTGTCATCTTGTTTGCCTTATAACTGTGGTTATTCCAAATTTTGGCTATGTCTTGTATATATGTAAATACATTAGGCGTAAAGATGTAAAGAAAGATTTCTTGCTTTCTGTTTCTGCTATGTAAAAAGAATGGAAGACGACCTTACAGGCAAAACTGGGAATTCCATAGCTATCCTCTAATAGAAAGTCCAGTCATTTTTACCTTCAGAAAACTTCCCTGTTTGGTTTTTTTTATTCTAAGTGGTCTGCTAGTTTACCAGTGTCTATTATATGTATTTTTTTTATAACTTAGTGACGTGGAGCTATTTTGATTTGCTTCTTTCCCTTCCTTTTTTCACTATTGCTTGCAAATTGAACTGTATTATATCAACTGCAATAACACTCCCTTGTCTTAACCATTGTCGGTTATCTCCTAAAGCTATCAGTCTCATGATGTTGTAGTTTCTTTCAGGAACTCTGACCTTGCATTCTATCCCTTGCATTCTATCACTAATTTGCTTTTCTTGCCTAATTTAATTATTTGGGGCCAATTTAATAGCATCAGTTGGATATCTGTCCCGTTTATCTAGAGGTTTATGATATTCTAAAGCAATGAACAAATTCAAATTCTAAAAATGTCTTCAGTTATTTTAAGATATTTTTTCCCCATTTCAGCCTACAAGGAAAGGTTTGGGTCTTTTTCCATTTGCGAGGGAAGTGCACTTTTTTCATAACCTAAAAATATAATGATTTCTGTATCAGCTAAACCAGAAATATTTAGGCTAACAGGAAAAGAGTTCTTTGTTTCGAGAATATATGTACGTATTAATTTCGGCCTCCCAGGGCTCTGCTAGATGTACATACAGTTATTTAAGAATCTCTGAGTTCAGTGTAGTATGGGTTGTACTCTGAGTTAGTGCTTGCTGGATTGTGTTCCTCCCGTTTACCAGCACTCCGTGCATTGTGCCATTATAAGGCAAAAAGGACCATTTTGAGCTAAGCAACTGTTTTTTACTAGCCAATCCGTTTGCGCTTTACTTGGCTAGGATCAAAAGTCTTTCTGATAGTAGGCTTCCCTTGCTGGTCCAAAGCTAGCAATTACCCAGTGTAATAATTGTAGAAAGAATTAGTCTCACTTAAATAAAACTATGCTTCCAAATGACTATGCACTAGTAGTTTCTATGCAGTAGTTTTCCCTGGAAAAGTGGAAAAAATTAGTGATGCCCCCAATTTTGATTTCTGGAGAAAATTTGAATTCATAAGGTCTTTGAATCTTAGGCATGGCTTTTTACTTAAACTCTTTCAGAAAATCAAATGTGACACTGCTGCAGTGGACAGTTCAATAAAATCAATCTTCAGTGAGCGAGGAGACCTGGATTTTGCTGAGCAATTATGGTGCAAAATGAGAAGTAAGTGTATTGTGGGGTTTTTTACCCCATCTGTTTTCCATTATTACTTCTGTTCTCTGTATCTACTATAATGTATTGTTTTCTCAGTGAAATTAATACAAGTTTTTATGTGAGATTTAAGGACTAATCAGCTGTTCAGAAAATTGTTATTACCAGGCTTTTTCTAAAAGAGCTATTTTTAGGTATGTTAGATGATATGCTTTCTTACAACATATAAAGGTAGACCGACATCTAGCAGGAGATACTACATTTCATTTGATTGTAAAAGGTACTAAACAATCGGTAGTACTCAGCTGCTCTAAAACTGAAAACTCTATACTTTTTGTCTTCCTAGATCTGAAGGAAATTTTAAGTTGATAAAGCTGTGCACAAACTTTATCATTCTTGTAATACCACTTTCAGTCCTTCAGTAAAATACATTTTTATTTATCTATGACTATTTTTCCAGATTACTAATTAACTTTTGTTAAGCTGTTCTAGAGATTATAACAGCTCCTTTCTGTTTAAGGGATGGAGTGTGTAACTTTTAAATTCCTTTAATTTCTATTAGTGCAACCACTGTTGTGTTTGAATTGAAAGCAGATAGCTAAAATGTACTGATGACTGCGCTGTGTCCTGCTAAAGGGCAGCGTCAGCTACACAATGTGTGGAGGTTTGTTTCTTGCTTAGGAAGCAGTTGGTTGAATAAATAGAGACTGATAGTTCATATTCTAGATAAATTTAACTAAACAGCATCTATAAAATGTGTTGAGTTGCAATGTGTGTGGAGAGAGTGTAGCTGAAATGTATTATATGACAATCTGCTTCTGCCGTGTGCTGTTCTCCAACAGTGGTATGCAGCTCAGTGGTCTTTTGATCATTGTTTCTTTAGAGTAACCCTTTTTAAAGTCATGATAGGACAACTTAGCAAAAAGCAGTGCGATCTGTCATTTCAGCTATTGCTCTTTAAATGAGGGGAGTCATTCTTGCAAGTATGTGCTGGCCTATTGTTACTGACTTCACAGCAAGAGAACAAGCCTGGATTGATAAATAAAATATTGCATCTTTTTTAATTAAGGTGTCAGTTCCTATCAGGAGTTGATAAAGTGTTTCACTCTGATCCTAAAATCCTTGGAACACGGTGAGATACAGCCATGGGTATGTATTTGTATTTCACAATAAATTTTACAATTATGAGTTGTTTGAAGTAGAATATAGTTCTTGTCACTTAACTGCTCCTCATTTCTGCATTGTGTTGTTTTAAAATTACTTTCACATGTCACAGTTTGCCTCTGTTTCCATGGTATTGTACTTCTAAACAATGTTTATGATGTTTTGTACAGCTATATCACAAGAAAACTTTTCTAATTTTTAGATTCATCAAGGGAGTAGCAGTTTGCTAAGTAGATTGATTCAACAGTCTTATCATGGAAAGATAGAGGTTGTTTCCCTCAGTGGCATCACTCCAATTCAAATGCTCTTGGAGATTGGTTTGGATAAGATGAAGAAGGATTATGTCAGTTTTTTCATAGGTAAGCCTAATATCTGTTAACACAATTAGAAATTCAAGAGAAAAGGTACTCTATGCAGGAAATAACAATGTTTTTGGTAACCTTGATCTCACTTCTGCTCCCATCTGCTGAAGTGCTGTTTCCAGCCTCCTTCATAATTATGTGTGGTTTCAAAATGTAAAAAATGATTTTGTTTCAAAATAACTATTATTTACGTAACTGTGTATTTCTTTTTCAATTTGAAAAAACCTTTAGGTGGAACTACAAGTAAAATAAATACCAGATTTATATAACTGTGAACTGTTTTGTTTTCTTATCTGTTTGCTGTAGGTGAAAAAATAAGACCCTCATGCTCTTTCTGTCTTTTTCCTTTATGGTCTATATGGGCTAAAAGGAAAAGCAAGGGTATTTACATGTAATAGCTGCGTAATCTGTAGTATTTAGAAAGATATTTTTGATTACTTTAAAATATGTATTATACTGGAAACAAAAGCGGAAAGATTTTTGTAAAGTACATTTTTTCTTGAAAACATTGTGGCTCTATTTTCAGTATTACAACATTTTTTTTTTTTTTCTTCTGAATCTGTGGGAGGGGTTTGTGGTTTACCATTGTTGTTACTCACTTCCTTTTCCTTCACTACTTCGTTTCTTGATTTCTTTTTTTCTTTGTCATGCTGTTTTCATTCTTTGTTTCATTTGCTTTTTTATTTTCACTATTTGTAAACCTATATGTCCCAAGGAGGGCAGTTGTCTAAAAGTATGTCGTAGGCTTCTTCATTGTGCAGCCTTGGTGGTAAATAAGATGATGCCTCTACAATGACACTGTACAGGGTTTCTCTTGTTTTGAAGGAGCAGTCATGTCAATAAATAACATCATAGTCCTAGTGACTTTGTGCTTTTCTTTGGTAGAATTCCCTGTTTGATTAGCTGAATGTTGCTTACATTTCATCTGATAATATGTAGTAAATCTAATTTATTTTTTCTACCCTGTTCTTTTTACAGGCCAGGAACTTGCAACATTAACCTACTTGGTGAGATGCTTTGTTTGTTTGTTTTTTTACTCTGAAAGAAGTATAAAGTAGAGCGCACTTAGCTGATTGTGGGATGCAAGTCATATCATTCCTATGAGCTGAGAAACTGAATTGCAAATCATAAGGATGGACCACTATACTGCAGAAATGTCATTACATTGTTATCTTATTCATATATTATTTCCTAGATATCTGATATGGGTCATGGTCAGGCAGGACAGTGAACCTTTGTTCATATTTTGATAGCATGGAACTTTGTTCTGACTCTGCTGGGCCATCCTTAAAGTTTTGGCTTCTTAAAAGAAGTGGGAAAATTGTTTTAGTATATTGAGGATGTGTTGTGTGTCTGTAGACATTGAGTGTCTAGTTAAGAGCAGAAGCTGTTTGCTGTTCCAGGATTACTTCATTTCCACATCCGTAGATCTACAAGAACAAGTTCATCGTGTTCAAAAGCTTCACCATATGCTGGAAATAATGGTCAGCTGTACAGTCTTACTTCAGTTTAAACATGAGAACCTCTTCCCTTTGACACAGTAATTATTTCATTTTTACTTGCTTTTTAAATGACAATAATAAGTAGATTCTCTTCAACCATTGTAAAGAAACTCTCTTTAAAAAAAAAAAGCAACCCTCCTTAATGTTGATGATTATGAGACTACAGAAGTAGCAGTTGGATATTCCTGTTAAATTTTGCTTTGTGACTAAAATTGGAAAACAAATGAATCATAAAATCTGCAAATATAGTTAATTTTGCACAAACTTTATGTGGTGTTGCACAAGCATTTCTCCAAAGAAAGTTACTAACTAGTTGATTCTTATTGTAGAATTTGCATGAAGTATTATAAGGAAAACCCTCTAAATGAGAAGCATGTGTTTCAACTGCCAATCAGACCAGTGCTTGTCAAGAAGTTCTATCAAAAGTAAGAGAAACTTCAGTCTTTGCAGCATTAAAATTCAGATGTGACTGAACACCTGACTGAATTTTGACATTTCTTGATTATTCTATCAGCGATCACCCAGAAATATGGAAGGTGGAAATAAGTAGTGGGCATGGACAGAAGGAGGTTAAAACAACATGGCAAGTTAGTACTAATTCTCCAGTTGAACACATGACATCAAACAGCACAGGTAGGAAATATTTGTGGCGACATGAAATAAAGTACACATTTCAAATTCAGGTTTTTTACTGGGTTCAGTGGAGCTGAACTTTTTCTTATATCTTCAGCAAAAGCGAAACGATGTTTTGCCTTTTATTAAAAGGGTGAGACTATTTCTAGAATGAATTTATAGATTTTCACAAAATGATGACTTTCTGCCTTCTCACCTTTGCTGAGTTATGTTTTTAGAGTTAAAATGACAGAATAGTTCCAAATATGACACGATTATTAAATATTCTACACAATATCTTGTAACTTATTTCTAAAATTTTTGCCAGTGTATCTGAAAATGGGTTTGAAGAGAGATTTACCTGTTATTGAATGCTGGCCTCTAGTCAGAGAAGCGAGTAGGTGCTAAGGAGAGAAGACATGCCTTGTTGCAATCATACGTAGAACAAGTGAAAAAGCATGAGAATGGGGAAGAAATAGGCATATAAATGGGTATAGAAATTGCTGTTTTGGAGTGAGGTTTGAAACAGGGTAATGCTTTGATAAAGCTTTCCTGTCATTCTCAATTTTTGTCGTGAAATGCTCCTTTTAGTAAAACTGAAGTTTTGAAACCAGTTCTTGAAGCTGCTGCAGGAACTAATCGCTACAATATCTCTTTCTAAGAATAGCGGCTGATCACATCTTTTTCTTTTGTCTATGCAGGTCTCTTTTCCGATTCCACAGTTAATGGAAGCAGTGAAGAAAGAATGTATTTTATTACAATGGCTAAGTGCAGTCAGGTGCATTTTGCATAAGTGCATGTTACTCTACAGGCAGGCACTTGAAAGGTACAGTAACGGGGAAAGTTCAGTGCTATCTGTGTCCCAACAGTATATTTAGAAACACTCTGTGATTTGAAGAACAGTGCGTCTTACTGAGTTACTTGCTTTGGTATGCCTGAAGTGTGACATACACAGCCACAATTCATCTGTACGCATCTACTTTGTTTACAAAGGTTGTGCAATTACAAATGGACAGTATAATTATTTTGAAAAAAGTAGTAGGTATTTTTGTCCGTATATTTACAAACATTCAATAAAGTTCTGCACTTTGGGGTTTTAAATTTTATTTTTATTCATTAAGAATGCAATCAGACATTGGTCAAAGTGTGAATTATCTTAACCCAACAAACCAAGCAATATTGTCATGTTTTGCTGGTGTCAAGTGACATTTCATCATCCAGATGTATTTGGAAAGCTGTTCATCCAGGGCATTCTGACCTTCTGACAGTTTGATTTTCGTTGTCCCTGTGTTTATATTTTGAAGTATTCTTGGATATACTTCTCTCTCCTCTTCAAATTCATTTTCTTCCCTCAATGCAAAGTGAATTATTTTAACAGTGTTGTGTTAGATACTTTTGCATAATTTTCTGAAAAAAATGTTTAGTATAATTGGCTGGACATAATCATTTAAATACGCTGGGATGAATGTTGCATATGTTCTTACGTTGATTAGATAGTGTATGTAACATTTTGGTAGTGTAATTTTAAACTATACTACAATAGTAGAGTATATGCTGATTAACACATATACTAATTGAGATGGAAACATTTTGCATAAAAGAAACTATTAACTATTCATAAGAATAAGGAAAACCCCAATATTCATGCTTTTTAAAAACTATACATTTCTATCATTTCTGGTTTCTCCTCTTATTTCTTATCCCCTTCCTAATATTGCATTTTAATAACTATCAGTTTAATAGTTAGCCTTTGAAGAGAAGCCAAGATCAAGGTCCTTTTTTGGATTTATGTACTGCTACTCTGCATTCAGTATATGCACATACAGTGTTGAAAATATAACTCAAGCTACATAGGAAACTTGTTTGTTGCTTTGCTTTAGAGGAATAATTTCAAGCGCAACAGAAGGACAAATACAGCCAGATGGCCATATTCTGGAATAAATTTTTTATAATCATGTACTTAACTTTTTCCTACCTGCAGTAGAAGTGAATTTGAGCTGGAATATTGTATTCTGGAAGTGCTTGGATTACTTATAATACACATTTCTGTGTGTATTATATTATAAAGTCATATGAAGTAAACCTAGTTCCTTGTAAACAAAACTAGAGAGGTAAGAGTCCTTGGTTTAAATCTGACTCAGCAGTTGTCATCTTTGATTAATCACTTCAAATAATTCTTCTCCATGCCTAAATAGTAAGGTATATATCATCCTAACTTTTAGATATGCATAACAAGTTAATGTTTAAGCAGTGCTCTTGGAATATTTAAATCCTTTTCTATTTTAAAATTATGTGTCTGCCTCTTTTCAAATAGCAGTTACATGCTAATTAAAAGTCTGTTGATGAACAGACCGAAATCAGAATTTGCAAACAGCTTTTAATTACTTGAAACTTTACTGGCAAGATTTGAATCACTTTAATCTTAGCTAACTATTTTTCTGGTGAACAAAATGAATAGTAGTTTCCAAAATAAGAAACGTAAAATCTGCTACTTAAAATTAGTAGAAAGTAATGCAGAAAGAAAATGATTAAAAATAAATAAATTAAAATATGTTTGGGGAATCGAATAGAAAAAAACTGTAAAAGCACTAGGTGGATAGGTAATGTAATATTTCTTTACAGTGGTATAAAAAGAGGCATCGGTGGTAAACTTTAACCATTATAATAAACCAGTTGCATTTTATTGATTATGCAAAATGAATGTGTGTGAGCATGCAATTTTAACTATGGTTTCGAAGGTAGAATATTAGTAGGACAATACTGAGGAGTATGCAGAGTGTGAAAACTGTAGGAAGAACAATCTCTGTCACCATTTCCATGTGAGAAATCAGGGAATCTAAAATTTGAGAAATGAGTAATACGTAAGAAATGTAATCTTCTGGAGTATACTAGTTGTTAACAGAGTTAACATAGATTAAGGATTTTTTGAACACTTATGGCTAAAATTATTTTGTTAAATTTTGACATTGGCATAAACAGCAAACACAACAAAAAAAATTCGTAAGTCTGCAAAAGCTGGAGCAAATCCATGACAGTTTTCCCTCTCTTTTTTTTTCCTAAGATAAATTTTTGAAGATATGCTCAAAGGGCTGCAAAAATTGTGCTTACTATGAATTTAGCTTCAGTGCATTAGCAGTATTCCGTTCCTTTGATTTTTATTCACCCCACCCCAGGGTAGAAAAGAATATTGTCAAAGAAAAATCCTTGGGAAGCACTTTATATGATTGTTTTGTAGCTCTTTGAAAAATTAAATGGGTTTTGTATTGTAGAATTTTGCTCCACAGATAAGCCTCAAAGAGTAAACAGTAAACACTGTTAATTCACATAGCCTTAACTGTTGAGTTGTGTGTTCTAAGTAAGATAAACTTAGGATGACTGCTTTGACGTTTTCTACCATGTGGAATTTATCTCATCCTTCTTATGAGACTTTATAATACTTATGTCATCTTTCTTAAAAGTCTCAGAAAACCATTGTGGTAGACTGTTCTTCTAGTTCAGGAATCATGAAAGATCCTGAATTGCATTGGAAAGGTCTTAAGTGAGGTGGATTAGCCTGGCACTGTGGAAACTGCTGGCAAAGTCTGCTGTATATTTGTATTCTTCAGCAGCTGCTGTAAGTTGTGCTGCTGTTAGCTTTGTTACCAGGAGTGTGAAGGAGCAGAAACGTGGCTTAACGCTACCTTAGGCTAGTGCTTAGCTCAAGTTTTAATAGTTTCATTGTATGTAGAAGTCAAACATTGTAGAGGTTTTCTGTCTGCGTGGTTGTCTTGATTTGTCTGGTTTTGGTTTATGTTTGAAAAAGCATTTAGCACTTTTATTATTTTAAGGATAACACTGTCATCCTTAGCCTTAATTTTAAATAGTAACTCTTACAGTGTATTCCATTAACATCCAAAGTTGATCAGTTTAGCTGCCATGATCTTAGTTGGAGGTAGTAATTAAAGATATTTTTCTTTAGAGGCTTGTTGTATTTGAAAGCTGTTGTGCTTTCAGGGAGAAAATTCCTTTTAGGACCAGCTAATAGTAGTATTCACAGAGAAATTTAAAATCTGGAAGTTACATAATATGTTTTTATAAAACAAAGCAGAAGATACATAATTACCTGTAGCAAGGAGTTGGTGTGTGGTCGAGCAAGTGTCCATGGCCTTCTGATACCAATTTTGCACCTGAGAAAGTTGACATACAGCAGTTCTATTAGACTGTAATATTTTCTCAGTCACAGCAGCTTCTTCTGTCCCTGAATGTTTGTCCACTACAATTGACTTGAAACTAGTTTATTCTATCAACACATGATTTTCTGAAAGTGTCTGTGTATCTTTGTGGGTTTCATTGCAATATATTTCTTACAGTTAATTGTTTAATAAAATTTTTAAAAGCACACAATGTATTCCATATTATTTTCCAATAAGGTAGCACGTATGTGTAATTTTGTGCCTAGAAATCTGACAGAGCACTAGTAACTTAGTATTTAGAATTTTTGTTCACATCAGTAAGTCCAATTAGAGTTCATGAAATGCTTTAGAAACAGTAGTTGAGGTTGTTTGCACTTTCTCTGTTTCTGGAGGCCTGTGTATTTAACACACCCCTAATTTACAGAACCAAAATGTCAAATTTCATGTACTGTATTCATGCAAGTTGTTTCATGAAATTCAAAGTGGTATTTGCCCATATATTGAAGAAAAAAGAATAAAATTAGCAATTGACATCACCTCTCTTGGATTTGGGAATCCATTCGCACTGATAATCTTTTTATAATAGTCAGCAGATGCCTTTGGGTATCGTGGCTTGTTCTTGTTTTTAAAATCAATGTGATAAAATCCAAATCTTTCGGAGAAGCCTTTGTTCCATTCAAATTTATCCAGCAGTGACCAGGCAGTGTAACCTTTCACATTAACGCCATCGTTTAGAGCTGTAAACAGAATACAAATTATTCTGTTAAACTTGTTGCCTATGTTTGTCATCCTTAAAATATGGTTCTCTAGGTGTTTTGTTTTACACCAAAAAGAGATGGGGAGGGGGAAGGAGGACAGAAAAATGAGAAAGCATGAAGCAATTTAGATTCTTAGAAAATGTTATCTTTAGCTTAGAGATACAAGAGGTCTATAAGAATGGCAATTAGGTGCAATTTCTCCTTTCTAACAGTGGAAACTGATGATCTATTACAGTGTTAAATCTCATGTTGGTTATCGTTATTTATTAGCATCAGTATGTTTGGCTAGGTTGTAATTTTTGAGAAAATCTATTATTCTAGTTTGCTGTCCGTTTTGATCTGTGAATATTTATTTCTCTATGATGCAAATTACAGGAGTAAAAAATAATCAGAAGGTGAAAACGCTCAAAAAGCTCATGCACTAAAAAAATGTTTTTGAAGTTACCTTTCAGTATTTCATTAATATATCCTTTCAGATACTCTATCCGCCATTCATCACACAGTTGAGTACACTGTACCTTTTCAGAAACTCCATTCTCTGTCACATAAATGAGAGGGTTCCCATATTGTGTCTGCAAAGATATGTTTAGACTGGTTCATATAAACAGCATCATCTTATTTTGACAGAACATTAGATTGTTAGTGAAATGCATTAAAAGCAATTTTCTAGATTTACTTACAGTTACCTTTAGTAAGAAAAAAGTGTAAGTAGGAATTTAAGTTAACTACGGGTTTTATTTTAAAATTATTGAATTCTATAGTTTTCTGAACTGAAATTAAGGTGGTTTTTTTTGGCAAAGAAACTTCCCAGTGTGACAAGACAAATAGCTAGGTGAAAGTGTTGAAAATCTATGACAGGGTAAGTGCAGCTTCTTCATGTAACCAGACATTTTGTTCACTTCCTTTTAAATATTTACTCTGTAGTCACCTTAATGAAGTTGAGTAATCTTCTGAATCCCCAAGGCACAGAGTATAACCATTTAGGTCCTGGAGCTGGCCATTTTGGGTCCACCAGTTCAGCCAAGTCACGGTCAGTGTGGTAACCAGACACTTGTAGAAAGGGAAAGCTCTTCTGTAGAACATAACGAGTAGTAAAATGACCTATTCCCAGGAAATCCGATGTGCCTTTAATATAGGTTTTCTCTTGCACTGAGAAAGTTGGTA